CTTTCTATCACTGCGGGGTATGTTGCCTCACAAGAAGAGGTAACAGTTCAAACTTTATTAACACCAGTGAACGTGTCCTTTATTTAGGCTCAGAAAAATCTTTTAGGTTGATGAAGATGCCCCATATTTTTGAAATGTTTTCACTTCCTGTTTGCTTTTGCTTTTCTTTCGATATCTCTTAATTTATAGGTTCCCTTCTTCTTGTTTGTATTTTATTTGATAAGGAAACAGAGTCATTTGGCCTATAGTTCCTCACTTTTTGGACTTTACTGCGTTATTGAACACATTGCCACATCAGAAGGAAAAATTTTTTCCTTGGGGCCACGGTGTTTTATTATGAAAACAGAATAAAAACTTTGAAAACAAAACTATCCTTTCTAATTGAATGAAAAATTTGTTATTTTGTTATTGTTTTCTATGCATGGGTTATAGGCAACTTGAAAAGTAGTTCACACGGCTCCAAAGGTAAACAGACACATGAGTTATATATACTTCACGAGGCGTCGGGCTCAAAACCAGCATGAGTTAAATACAGCTCACCTGGCAGTTGATGTGTTAACACGTTCTCCCATGCCCCGTGAACAGACAATTAGATCTGGAGGCTTTATCAACCTCAGTCGCTCCTCCCAACCCCCTTTTCTTTTTTGCAAGAATATGTCATTCGTGGTGTTGGTGGCACTTCCCGTGACATCCCATTTGGAGGCACAGAATGTCTAATCAGCTTTCTCTCCTTGTGAAGATTAATTAGTAGGTTTAGGCGCTATCACCCTGATCCATCCCTTATAAGTTTCCCCATCAGCTTTTCATCAAATACAGGCGGTTTCGCAGCGGGGAACCTGGACCAGTATCATTAGCATCACCTGGCAACTTGCTGGAAATGCACGTTCTTGGGCCCCACCCCAGACCTACTGACTCGGAAGCTGACGCACGAGGGAGGCTGAGCACCACTGGTCTCATGGTTTGAACAACCACTGACAGTCGTTGCCAAGGCGTATTATTTTATTAGGGCTTACTAAGTCGTTGCATTTTAGTTTTGCTGTTTCTCCCCCATTTGTTAGCTGGAATTCTTCCAAGTAGATGGGAGTATTTTTCAAGACCGCATAAGTGGAGTTAGGAGCAGGATTCTGTTGATCTGATGATGACCTAAGCCAAGTGCAATAATGATTTTAAAATGCAGGAAAGGGGATTATGAAGCCTCGGACAACATGTGTTCTTTACAAATCGTTATTTCACTTTCTGAATAAGTGAAGTGATTATTCAGATTTAGGGAAATGATTTGCTCATTTCTTCAGCCTTTCCCCCCCCTCTCCCCTTATCAGCTACTAGATCAGGTCTCCCAGGAGAAATCACCTTCCCTTCTGAGCAAAGCAGCTTCTGGTTTTTATTATTGTGATTTTCACTGCTGGAAGAAGAACAGTAGGTATTGGAATATCTGTCCCTTCCATTCCACCTTTGCAAAATCTGCTCAGGAGTTGACCGCGGGGCTCTGGGGGCCTAGCGGTGCGATGAGGGGTTTATTCTATGTCTATGGGATTTGGGGCCCAAGTGTGGGGATTATCTTGGTGAAGTCAAAGGAGCTGTGAATTCTTTTCTGCTGAAGTAGGAATGAATGTGAACCACACAGTAGATCCTGGTGGCTGTGCATCCTAACTTAACCGGTGACTTAGTTCTTAGGAGCCCGGCAGCAGCAGGTGGAGGGGCCGGATGGGGGCCAGTGTCATTAATACCAGGGCAGTGCCTGGTCAGAGGGTCAGGACAGGTGACTGAACAACAGAGCTTCTCACCACTGCACCTCTGCTCAAAAACACATCTGGATAACAGGACAGATGATGTCAGTCCATCGCCAATGGGTTCTGCTTATGGAGAGGACATTCAATGTCATTCCATTCCAATTATTTATTTACTCTGAGGAACAATTTATATAGGAAAGGCAAAATCAAGATTTTCATTTTCCCCTCTTTACCAGTTTTTAAAATAATGCATTGGTTCCTCAGCATCTTGCGAGAATGACAATGAATTTCTAATAATCATTGTAAACACATGGATTTAAACGTATTTGCCTTTCAACTATTATAGTTATCTTCTTGATATCAAACCATCCCCTATTTGACCAGCTAGGATCATAGTATAATATTTCAGTATGCAGTTTTATAGACTTCTAAAAAATGTACACACATACATACAAGAAAGACTTTATTATAAATAATCAGCTTTATCGAGGTATAATCTACACAGAGTAAAAGTCCCCAACTTTAAAAAAAAAAATATTCACCGATTTTTAAGTGTACAGCTCAATGAGTTTTGACAAATGTATAGAGTTGTGTCATCACCACCAGAATCATATGGAACATTTTAATCGTCCCAAAAGTTGTTTTGTACCTGTAGCCAGTTGGCTCCTTTCCCTGCCCGTGGAGACTGCCAATCTGCTGTCAGCATAGTTGTGCCTTTTCTAGATTTCTATATTGATGGAGGGTCATAGAGCACAGGGCCTTTGGGGTCTGGCTTCTGTCACTGGGAATAATTGTTCTGAGACTCATCTATTTTATTCCTGAACAGTATTCCATTTATATACGTTGTATTTAACTTAAAAGTATATCGTAAGCATCTTTGGTCAAAGGTCACCTATTTTTCCATTTACATGAAATGTCCAGAAACATTGAATGTATGTATAGAGGCGGAAAGTAGATTAGTGGTTGCCAGGGGGTGGGGACCTGGAGTTTCTGCAGACTGGCAAGAGGGAATCCTTCTTGAGGTAATAGAAATGTTCCAAAATTTATCATAGGGATGGGTGCACAACTCTGTGAATTTCCTGAAAACCATTGAATTGTATGTTTACCATGGGAGAATTTCGTGGCATATAAATTATACTACAATAAACATGTTAAGAGAAAAATCTTTGGCATAAATAAAAGTCCACATCTTAAATATTTAACATAATTATAGCATTCTAGAGAATGGACATCCCACAATTTAACAAGGTACCCACTGAAGGTCATTTAAGTTGCCAGCTGATTTTGCTGTTCCAAACAACACTAAATTACACATCTTCTATGTCTGTTAGTACTCGTCTGTTTCTGTAGGCTAAATTCTGAGAAATGGAACCGCAGGTGAAGAGGTATGCATAGTGTTTGAGGCTCTTCTACCACTAAGGGTGTAGTATGCAGGGGACTGTCTTCTAAGCTCTGGACAACACTGGATACCAGCAATGGTTTTCATCTTAGCCAGGCTGATGGGTGAGAATCAACATCTCGTTGCTTTAGTTTGCATTTCTTTATTACCAGTGAGATCGAACATCTTTTTCATATGTGTATTGGCTGTTTGAAGGGCTTTATAAAAATGTCTATTTTTCTTGATCATAAATTTAATAAAAAGTCATAAAAAGACAAATATGACAAAAATACATAACAGAAAGTACACTTACGTTCCTAGCAGCATTATTCACAATAACTACAATGTGGAAGCCATCCGAATGTCCACCGACGGGTGAATAGATAAGTGAAATGTGATATGTCCATATAATGGAATATTATTCATTAATTTTATTCTTCAAAGGAAATTCCAACACTTGCTACAACATAGATGAAACTTGAGGACATTATGCTAAGTGAAAAAAGCCAGTCACAGAAAGACAAATACTGTCTGATTCTACTTACACGAGGTGCTTATAGTCAAACTCATAGAGAAAGTAGGATGGGTTGCTAGGAGCTGGGGGAGGGAGAATGGGGAATTGTTTAACAGGTACAGAGTTTCAGTTTTGCAAGATGAAAAGAATTTCGGAGATGGATGGTGTTGATGGTTGTGTGTGAATATACTCAATACCACCAAGCTATATACTTAACAATGCATATATACTTAGTAATGGGTAAGAGGGCAAATTTTTTATATGTATTTTACCCCAATTTTAAAAATTGGGGGGAAAAAACAAAATAGAAAGCAAAATTCCCCTCACAACTGTACTTGATAAGAGCATATTTCTGTATTTATTTTGCCTATGTAGACTCTAAATATTTTAAATTGAAAATGGGCTATTATATCTACTGTTTTACAATTCCCCCTTTTATTTTTTTAGAGCTTTGAGATGTAATTCGCATGCCATACAATTCACCCACGTAATTGTACAATCCGATGGCTTTTGGAGTATTCACAGTTGTGCATCTTTACTACAATGAATTCTAGAACACTCGCGTCATCCCAAAAAGAAACTTGCACCCCTTACGTGTCACCCTCGAATTCTCCCCCAGCTCTTGCAACCACTAATCTTCTGTTTCTGTGGATTTGCCCATTCTAGACATTTCACTCAAACAGAATAGTGTGGGTTCCTTTGTGACTGGCCTCTTTCGCTGAGCATGACGTTTCAAGGTTCGTCCACGTTGCAGCAGGCGTCTGTACTTCCTTCCTTTTATGGCTGAATAAAATCCACCGTGTGGATATCCCACATTTTGTTTATCCATTTACCTGTTCATGGACATTTGGGTTGTTTCTGCTTTCTGGCTTTTATCAATAATGCTGCTATGAGCATTCAGGTACAAGTTTTCGTGTGGACATATGTTTTCATTTGTCCTGTGTATACACCTAGAAGTGGAATTGTTGGATCGTCTGGTAGTTACACGTTTAAGTATTCGAGGACCCTCCTTTTATTTTGCAGTAGACAATTGGACTTGGATGTTTTTCCATGTCAGCACATGTAGACATACTTCTTGCTGCTTAACCACTGGGAGTATTTCACTGCGTGAAAACCCCATGGCTTCTGAATCCAGTTCCATGTTGACGGACATTTGGGTTTCTTGATTTTTGCTCTTATGGGCACTGATGCAAATCATTTCGGAAGGGCCTTGGGGTTGTCTCCATTCTTTGACAACATAAACAATACTGCAGGAAGTATCATTGTATTTTGTAGGATATTTCTTCAGACCGTGTTCCTAGACATGGTGAGGTGACAGATTTATCTGTCTTGAGGACAAGGTTTGGCCCGATTCTGACGCTGTCACCTTATTCCACAGGGGACCAACCAGGCATCATGGCACAGAAGGGCCAACTCAGTGACGATGAGAAGTTCCTCTTTGTGGACAAAAACATCATCAACAGCCCAGTGGCCCAGGCGGACTGGGCTGCCAAGAGGCTGGTCTGGGTCCCCTCAGAGAAGCAGGGCTTCGAGGCCGCCAGCATCAAGGAGGAGAAGGGGGATGAGGTGGTCGTGGAGCTGGTGGAGAATGGCAAGAAGGTCACAGTCGGCAAAGATGACATCCAGAAGATGAACCCGCCCAAGTTCTCCAAGGTGGAGGACATGGCGGAGCTGACATGCCTCAATGAAGCCTCCGTGCTACACAACCTGAGGGAGAGGTACTTCTCAGGGCTCATATATGTGAGTATCTCGGGGCACTCAGTTACTTCCTCCTGGGCTCCTGCCCCCGTAAGGAAAGGAAGCATTTAGAAATGTGTTTGGAGTCTGGGTGGGGGGGCTGAAGGTTTGATCAAGGGAGATCGCAGGATGAGGTGGGATCGTTCAGACATGGGTTCACATCTCAGTCCTGCCCTACCTGCTTCTGTGACATTGAACAGGTTATGTAACCTCTTGAAGCCTCAGTTTTCCTATCTGTAAAATGGGAATTGGGCCAGGTACAGTGGCTCACACCTATAATCCTAACACTCTGGGAGGCCGAGGTGGGATGATGGCTTGAGGTCAGGAGTTCAAGACCAGCCTGAGCAAGAGCAAGACCTCGTTTCTGCAAAAAGTTAAAAAATTAGCCAGGCGTGGTGGCATGCACCTGTAGTCCCAGATAGTCAGGAGGGCTGTATAATCTATCATGTGAATGTACCATTATCTGGTCTTCTTATGGATATTTCAGAAGGGGTTATGGTGGCTTTTTTAAAGAGCCAGGCAGAAGGATCGCTTGAGCCCAGGAGTTGGAGGCTGCAGTGAGCTAAGATCACACCATTACCCAACAGCCTGGGTGACAGAGCAAGACCCTGGGTGTGTGAGTGTGTGTGACTCTCAGGGCACAGGTCCCTTGTGGGCTTGGACCAGCTCCCCAGAACAAGAGGCACATAGATATCCCCATGATGCCAGACCGGTGGGCAGAGGTCACCTCTCCTCTCTGAAAGGGCAGGCTAATCCGTTGGACAAGTTATCTCATTTCTCTGAAACTTTGTTTCCTTCTCTGTAAAATGGACACAACATTAGTACCAGTGTCATAGAGTGGGTTACTCTAAAAAGAAAGCACTTACACTTCCTGGCACATAGTAGGCACTCAGATAGTTAGGTGTCATGTGACAGGTCTTTGCTGTTCTCGTGATCGTTTTCATTGTTACGAGCCAGAAGTTCTCAGATCCTTTGCAAAATCGTGGAAACAGTCACCTCCATCGTTACGTCCTTTTGGTCCTGCCCTGTAGGTTTTGCCAAGTGAAAGTTACAAAAATGTCATCTCTACAAATGTGCTGCCAATTTTTTTCCTAATTAGGAAAATAAGACACGTTCACTACGGAAAACTTGGAAAATCCAGGAAAGCTTAGTAAACACAAAAATAGTCCTCACCCAGAGATGGAGGTGCGTTTTTCGTCTTTCTTCGCGAGAATGCTACATGTTCACGTATTTAAAAGCCTACTGTGCGCGTGTTTAGTGACTTGCTCTTTTTCCCAGGTACTAGTCAATGATGAGCATTTCCACTTCTCAGCCCCAGAGATAGCCCTTATGGGGCTGTATAATCTGTCATGTGAATGTGCTATTATCTGGTCATCTTATGGATATTTCAGAAGGGGTTAAGGTGGCTTTTTTAAAGAGCCAAAGGGGAAGAAGGAGTGACTGATAACTATTAAATACCTCCTCCGATCCAGGTACTGTGCCTTGATGCACTTTATCTCATTTAATCCACACGACGTCCTCCAGGTTATGTCTGCTCATCTCCTTTCACAGGACAGCGAGCTGAGGCCCAAGGGGTAAGGCCCGTCCTCACTTCCCGAAGTAGGGAAAGTCTCTCGTCTGTGGCACTCGTGTGGACGTGTCATCCACCTGGGCTGCTGGTGCACGGGGCCTTTCTCAGGAGCCCAGTCTGCAGGGGCCAGAGAGAAAATGGGGCTCCGTGGGGCCCAGGTCTCCCATGCAAGATGCGTCATCTGCAACCAGCGAGGGCCTCTGTATTGGTTTCACCTGCTGTCCTCTCGCCTGGTGTTTGAACCCAAAATAGAAATCAAAAAAAACGAGGGGCTTATGAAAGTCCCGAGACCCAGAGTATCATCTGACAACAGATTAAAAAAAAAAATGAATCAAAGCTTCAAATTCCTGCCATGCTTCTCTGGACAGATTAGATTAAAATCCTTTCAGCCTCGTGCTGATGCGCCCGTTCCTGTCTCATTCCGCTCTGGTCAGTTTAATCACTTAATAGAAAGCCTCATCCATGATGGAGAAGATAGGGAGGGAAAGGGGGTCTGGGGGGAGGTACAGTAAGTCACTCTCCCGGCCGCGTGGCAGAATGCGTGACTCTTGTTAATAGGTGGGTGACGAGGTGACGCTGAGCCCACGGCCGTGGCAGCCGGGCATGCCTGACTTTGCCCTCAGTGATGAGAACTTTCCCTCTTTTCTGCAAGGCTCACCTCAAACGATGGGCCTTTGAGAAGGTCCTGGCAGACCTCTTGTCCTCTTGGATCTAGAAGCGTCTATAGATGCCAGAGGAGCTTGTTGTCCCAGATGCAGGTTCTGGGCTCAGCAACGTCCAGTGACTTACTTGGGCTGCCGCGGGTCATTCAGAGCACACGGGGCAGGAGCGTAGCTCTGATTCCTGGTCCCAGGCTCCCTCGCTCTTGTAGACACTGCCTTTGGCTGAGTTCTCTCTGCCTGAAATTCTTCACGGACCGCTTAACCAGTCAGCTCCGGCCCTGGTGTCTTGCTAGGGGAGGGGACAAGGGATTCAGGAGGAGGAAGCTCAACAGGTGTGGACCTGCTCCGTGCCAGGTACTGTCCTAGGTCCTCCCCAGTCCGCTTTGTCCCTCACGACTACAGTGACGGTGAAGCTGATACCCCACTCTGCAGATTAGGCGACCGAGGCAGGGAGGTAATGCACACGTAGGAGGGGACCTGGGTTCAGACTCTGGCCCTGTCTGTCACTCTCCTGCTTCTCTGTGCGATAACGAGTCAAAGAGCCCAGTTCTTGCCCGTAATTGCTTTACAATTAAGCGGAGGAAGACGAGATGCACCCGAACTAGAGGCAGATCCATGACATAGATTCTAAAACGTGGGATTCTACACTCAGCACCTGCAAACGGGCATTAGGAAGTCTGGAAGCTCTCGAGATTTTAGGAACGATTTGTGCATATGTGTATTTTTTCTGGGCAGAGGGTCTTAGCTTTCATCAGACTCTTGGGGGAGCCTGTTATCCTGACGATAGTGATAGTGGCTGCTAGTCATTCAAAATTGACCATGTTAAGAGTTTATGCTAATATATTATTACTACTACTATTATTTTCTTTATGTAAGAAAGATATAGTCTTATTCCCTTTTTTGCTGATAACAAAAAATTTGGCTTAGAAAAGTTAAATAACTGGATGGGAAACAGAGGTGGGCCTCAAACTCAGGAAGGCTGGCCCCAGGACCAACGTTTTGTAACTGCAATTTCATTGAACGCTTTCCATGACACTGTGAGACAGATGCTCTTGCCCCGTTTTAGAGATGAGGACACTGGGGCTCAGATGTGCTGAGTCCCCCTGCTGGTAAGCGCGCAGAGCTGGGATTCGGACAAAGTCTGTGTGAGTCCAGGGCCGGGGTGACAGCCCGTGATGATAGAGGGCCCCTAGGTGACAGGAGGCTTAGAGCAGGAGGTGATGGGTGTGGACTGGGGCAGGTGGGGTCAGTGCCACAGGTGTCGTTAGCCTTGAGTTGGACATACTTTAAGTGCATAGCAGGAAGGATTCTAACCTTTCATTGTGATTGTTTGAGCACCACCTATGAGCCGCTGGCCCAAAGTGAGTGATTTTTTTTTTTAATGGAGTTAATTTGATATATTCTAAAAAAGATAGCTTGACATTTTATTGTGAAAAAGGAAAAAAAATTGATAATATCCTAAAAAAGAAAAGAAAATCTCAGTTTCTGGCATTGCTTGAAAAAGCAGAGGACCTGGCAGCCCGGACCCAGGGCTCGAGGCAGCAGTCCCTGCGAGATGGGCCCCCTCTCCCTTGGTTGCCTGGCCCCTGGGGCCGAGCGCTGGCATCTGTTGACTACAGCACCTGTTTTATCCACTCACACCTGGCCTGCTTCTCTCCTGCTTCACCTGCTTGGTCCTGTAGACACTGGGACCTTCCACCCCTGCACCGAGCCTCTTAGGTTGGGAGCAACGTGACCCAGAGCAAAGGTGGGTGGACCCTGGTGTTCATCAGGTCCCCAAGCCCAAATCCCCAACTCATAAACCCCAAAGGATGTTTTTCCAGTTCTGATTGTGGTTATGGGAAGAGCAGGGGGCCAGGAGGGGCCTTCCTTCCCAGCTCTAGCAGGTGCTGATTTTTTCATCTTAAAGACCTGGCCCAGTGATCGTATCCTTCCCCGGAAGGAGTGCCCATTTGGGGACATGCAGGGAGCAAGCAGACTGTGAGCAGAGGTCTCCTGGTGCTGGTCACAGTGCTGGGCCCTGGAGGGTGGGAACGAAATACAGCTGGAGGCTGCGCTTTGTTGAACCCCAGGAATTAAGCCCTTTAGATCTTTCAAGTCATTATTGCTTCCAAGAACCTCCTCTAATAATAAAAGAATATCTATGCAAAGGCTGCAAGAAAATATTTAAAAATAAATATACATCCTAAAAAGCAAGAGTGCCCCTCTTTAGCCCCCCAACTCTCTTCCCTGGAGTCAAACATGATCCACAGGGTCATGTATGTACACACACATACAGCAAATATACCAAGAAGTCACTCCACGTATGCTTTGCAGCTTGCTTTTTTTCAATTAACCACATCTTGTGGCTTTTTCTGTGTCTGTTCATAACTACCTAGTCAGAGTTAAAACCCCTTTTTGAATAGGTAATATATGCAAATAATACATAAAATGGTGTGTATATATAAGTATATAGAACTTGCCCTTTCATTTCCATTTCTCAACCTTCCTGTTCCCTTGCTTGGAAAAATTGTGGCCACCAGTTTCTAACGTAGCCCTCCAGCAGTGTTTTACACGTGCACAGGCAAATGCAGAGCCCTTCCCGCACCCGTCAAAAATGGCAGCCCAGGCCATGTGTTGTGCATCTTGCCCTTTGTGTCTCACTGTGTATTTTGGCCACGTTTCGTGGTAGTAGGGATGGAGCCACCGCACAGCCTTTCACTATAGGGATGAACGGTAATTACTGAGCCCATTACCTGTTGATGGGCATTTAGGTTGTTTCTAGTCTTTTT